GAAGATTTTATACTTTTGCATCACTGAGCCTGAAATGGGTGGAGTCTGCTGAGCACAGTAAATTTTTTAAAATAGAAGAAGATAATAACAAACAGGAGGTTGAAAGAGGGAGTAATTCAAGGGAAATTAAAATATTTTATATGTATGTGTGACATCACTTAAAAGCTCCTTTCTTCTCCCTGTTCAAAGTACTTTGTTTCTTTTTAATGGTGCTAATCTCTTCAGCAAGCACACTTCTTTGGCTTACCTCTATATACTGTTTCCTTTTGGCCAACTTTTAATTTGTTCACATTTTCTGCTTTGCTTTTTGCCCCCAATTTTCACTATAAATCCAAGTAAACGCACCCAGCAGTATCCATGCTGCAATGTGAGACTGCTTTAAAATTTTCTCCACCAGATCAATTATTCCACACACCTTAATTTCAGTCTCCAGCAAAGTCTCAGGACATGGGCAGCATGTAGACAAATTTTCTGCCAGAGGATAGCACACGTGGCCTCTAATCTAATTGCCAATGGAGTTCCCAACTGAAATCCCCTGGGCCTGCTCGCCAAACCTTTCCAAACTCCTGCAAACCACTTTTAGACGCTTCTAAATGACATGATCAACTACAGCCTAAGTAATTACCTCATTTCTGGTAGCATTTTCTGTGCTGGTTTTCCAACTGCTGAGATACAATATCCCCAACCCACAATTTACAGAAAGAAATGTTTAATTTGGCTTATGGTTTCAGGGTATTCAGGCTATTGTCAGCTAGCTCCAAGACAAAGACATGGCAGACGGGCACAGTGGAGCAAAGCTGGTTAGTTCATGGCAGTCAGGAAGCAGAGTAGGGGAACAGCAGCAGAGAGGAAGGGGCCAAGAACCTCACATACTCTTGGAGTTCATGCTTCCATGGCCCACCCAGACACACGCAGAACTGTGCTTTACTAATCCCCTGGCTGTTTCTTAGGCCAATCAAATTGACACAGTTAAGGTTAGCGATCACAGATAAATGATTCAAACATTTGTCAGTGCTTGAATCAACTAAACAGCAACTCCAAGTTTGATAGACAGTCATCCCTTGCTATATCACAGTTCCCTTATTGGGTTTCACTGTACAATGGGCTTTAAAAAAAAATATATCAATTCTGTACTGTGGAGTTTTCCTTATCTCATGGGATTTTGTGGTTTACAGTTATTTATATAATATTCATGATTTTATTCATTTTTGCCTAAAAATTTTAAAACAATATAAAAATAAAATGTTAATTCAAATACATTAAAAGAATATTAAATTGAAATAAAATACAATATGTATTTCATCAGTGGATGAATACCATACTGTACACAGTGGAAGTGCAGTACACTACTGCTTCTGCAAGTTTGCCAAGTACACTGCACACTATTGGCTGATGGAATGGAAGGCAACCAACCACAGCACTGTGTTCTGTGCCCTGGGTTCTGATTGGCTCAGTGACCAGAGCATCAGTCCATTTGCTCTCCTGCACTGTGTTCATATAGATTTCTACATGTTGTTAAAATTACGTAGGTTTAAGAGTGTAGAAAGTGTTTAAGAGCACATGAGTATTTATAAGAGTGTGAGAAGATTAATAAAAGAGTGGGAAAGATTTATAGGAGTGTTGAAAGGTATTATAAAGCCTTAAAATATATATAAATAATAAAATAAATATAATGACACTACTTTGTGGATTGTTACCTATCACGGGGATCTCTGGAATGTAACTCCCATGATAGGTGAGGGATCACTGTACTGATTCTGAAAGCATATATTAGTATTATCATATAGGAAAGTAGTTTCACAGTATCTACAATATGTAAATATAATTCTATCCTAAGGAAAAATTTCTACTTCTGTATAGAACTAAGAGATATGAGTCTATATGTCCTTTAAAAAGATGCATAAGACTCTTCATTGTGGCTTTATTCATGAAAGCAACAAATTGGAAACAATTCAGATGTTTACCAACTATCGCATGAATAAATTGCAATGTGTTCACACAATTGAAAACTATAGAGTAATAGAAGAGAACAAACTACTACCTTACTAACACAACAAAAAGGGCAAATGTTGAACAAAAAAAAGGCTATAAAAAGAACATGTAGTATATTCTACAAAAATTACAGCATACAATTGTGACTTTTAAAGCAAACTCAAGTAAGATAAATTATTTTATACTCATAGTTTGTATTACTATGAAGCAATAAAGTACCACATGGGATACTGGAAGTGTTCTATGTTTTGATTTGGGATATAGTTACACAGTTGCATGCAAATTTAAAATTTTTGAAACTGTACACTCAAGATTTGTTCACTTTACTGTATTACTCTATACCTCAATTTTAAAATTTTACTATTAAAATATGGGATATGGAATAACTAAATAATTAGAAAGAATGCCAAGGTAGGTCATGATTTTTTAAAAAACCAGAAATAGTTCCATTGACACATTTGATAAATACACTAGAATAACAATTGGATTATATAAGAACAAAGATCATTCTTGGATACAGAAGAACAGCAACATAAATATTTCATAATATTTATCACATGAATCTATGAGCATATTATATTTAATAATTTATGGGATATAGAGATTACTGAAATCAAAAGATTAAAACTTTGCAGTTCAATTTTATATAAAGACAAACTAAGTTAAGGTCAGACTACAAAACTGTATGAAAAAGAACATTGCTCTCTCAAGCTACCAAATAACAAAGGAAATACATACACATGCACACACACACACACACACACACACACACCCATTACACCAAAGAATGCAGCAGGAATATATTAAAGTAAAAATTTCACAGGCTACAAAAATGAAAATTCAACAGATTTAAAAACATATAAGAGCTGATTTCTTGAGAATATCCACAATAATCATCTCACTAGCTAATATCTGAAAAAGGGAAATGCACATTGTATTAATAATAAAAGTTTATATTGTCAAAGATAGAATTATAAGATTGCGAATTAAATGGTATGTTCAAGAGAGCCTTAACTAATCCTCACACAGATGTTGGAAAATGTGCTATTGGGTCGGGAAAGAAATAAAAATCCCACCTCTACAAGAACGTTTAATATTTCATATCAGTGAAGTAAGAAAATTATAAATAAAGATAAGAAAAGAATCAATAAAACTGCCATCATCTGAAGATGAAATAATTTTACAAGTAGTAAACACTAAAATGTCTTCAGGTTGAAAATGGAAGAAATGTAAAAGATTGATAATACCAAATCCTGGTAAGGGTGCTCAGTAAAAGATATTTCTACACACTGATGATAGAAATGCAAATTTAATTACAGGAGAGTTTGGGTTATTTACTTAAATGGAAGACCACAGCACCATACTACCCAGCAATTCTTTTTCTAGATATGTACCCTCAGAAATATTCTTTGAAGTGTGTATTAAGGTATTTAGATAAAAATGCTCAGAGAAGCATTGTTTTTAAAAGCCAAAACATGGAAATAAGTAAAAGCCTATCACCTTTAGAATTTATTCAAACATTGTTAAAATCTTTTAATGAATTATATACAGCCAAAAACTTAACAGATGACATACACTTTTGTGGGATGAATCTCAGAAACATAGACAAAAGACAATTATTTGAGTGACAGCAACTCAAATATGGCTCCAGTAAGGATAACTATACAAATTAATATCCAAACTCAACCTATTTTTATAGAGAAACACTAATTACTTGGAAAAATACAATTAATAACACAGACTACCAAGATATGTTGATTATTTATTTCCATGAAATATTAATGTTTGGGAATAAAATTGAAAATACCCAAAGAAATGTAGAAGCTATTTCTTGCATGATAAAATCATTTACATGGGAAAGAAATTGCTGAAAAGTAAAGAGTGACTGGGATGAGGTAAAAGAGAAAATAAGGAAGGAAGGGAAAAAAATATATATATATATATACATACACACACACAAGATGGCTGGGATAATTGAACTACTAATTTCTATTGCTTTCTTGAAAGAAACAGTTGATATTGAATCGCTTGATCATTCTTACATGTCTATATTTGTTTATCTGAGTAACCAATATGAAGATAACAGTATTAGTACAACCACCATTATTAATTTCTTATCACCTTGTCTGAAATTCTGTATCATTTTTATTAATTTTATGCTGTTCCATTTATGTCTGTGTGCTTGTTAATACATCTTGGTTCTTTTATGTTTTCTTTCTATTTTTTAAAATTTATTTTAAAAATGAAAGAAGGAAAATACCCAGAAGGGGAATGGCTGGATTGAATGGGACCTCTAGATCTAGTTTGCTGAGGAATCTCCAAACTGATTTCCACAGTGGTTTCACCAGTCTGCATTCCCACCAGCAATGAAGAGAACATATAATGAATTTAAAAACACCAGCCTCCCCAAATTCAAAGACCCAATCCAAAAATGGGCATCTGAGATGAACACACACTTCTCAGATAAAGAAATACAAATGGAAAATAAATACATAAGAAAATGTTCAACATCATTAGTCATTCAAGAAATGCACATTAAAACAGCATTGAGATTTCATCTCACCCCAGTAAGAATGGCTAGCATTAAGAAATCCACCAATAACAAATGCTGGAGAGGCTGTGGTTCTTTTATCTTTAAAAATAAATTGAGAAACAAAAGAAAGAACCCTTTACACAATAAAGTGATAAGTTTTAAATAAGAATTAATGAGTAATTAATGAAGGGTACTAGACTATGGCACTCTAAACTATGTTGCTATGGAATACTGATAATTTTAAATGGAAGGCAATCAGAAGAAGCAGATATAAGAGAGGCTGTCTGTCTTCCTGTTATCTGTCTAAAAACTGGACATAAATTTGTAATGGTGTTCCCCTTCCCTGTCTACCTGGGAGAGAAGTTAAACCCTAGAGAAAACTCGAGACCTTTACTATCCCAGAGAGGCAACCAGAGGAGTCTACGTTACAAATATTAGTAGCTACCGCTTTCGTCATTTCCTCCCATATCCTTACCTTCTCACAGTCTGCCTTCCTCAGAAACTCAGAAGTCCTTTTGCACTGATTTGTCGCTTCTTTACCAAATTCCCTGTTACTTAGTTGAAACACTATGACATCACAGGTTCTAGTCACGCCTTTGAGTTACTCTTTACTGAGTTCTCCAGTATGTAAAGTGCTCTTGTACATCGATTGTGACATACATTGATCAACTGTTTTGCTGTAACCTTCCTTGTGTCGGTTTAATTTGAAGGGTCTTAGCCAATGAATCTAAGGTGAAGAGGAAAAGGAATTTTTTTCTCCTCTGCATGAGAAAGAATGAGTTCATAATGAACATAGGTTCTATAAGTTGAAGTGATACCAATCAGCATTCTAAAGTTATTTGAAACTAAATTAATTTATAAAATTAATGTAGGAAAATATTCATGAAAAATGTGATCAAGAAAACCACAGAGAGTGACTTATGTCAGGATTCAAAGCAAAACCTCAAAGCATAATGTCTTGACCAGCTAAACACACTGAATGAAAAGAGAGAAGAGCTTCACAAGCAGGGCCTTTCAGATTTTCCTTTTTCCTTCTCTCTTCTCTTTTTTCTCTCCCAGCCATAAAGTGAGATGTATACTCTCTGACCTTTCTTTCTCCCCAAAGGTCTTCAGGTAACAAGTACCCTTCTTTTTATGTGGGGACAGGAGAAGGAATGTCCTAGACACAGAAAAGAACCTGAATATAGATTTTATTTCCCAGTTTATTTCCATTAGATTGTAACATTCTGATCATAACTCTCTACCACTGTACACTTTTTTCTTCACCTGTATTTCCTGAGCTCTTTGTGTCTTTATTACTGAATGGTCCTAGGTCATGAAAAATTGGTTAAATCAGTTTGTTATGTTTTTTACTTGTTAATCTTTTTTTATGAGTTATGAGCTATGACCCTTGCATCAGGTGAAAAAACAGCATTATTTTTCTCCCTTACAGTTAACAAATGCAATTTTAAAAATAAAATCACAAGATGAAAAGTGTAACATATCCCTCAAAATAAAATATTGCAGAATCTAGAGTGGCTTTCTTACATAACAGTCTTATAGGATATGAAGTAAAATTTCAAATATGTGTAGAAAAATGAATTACCCAAAAATTGTGCTAGGACAAATGATTGACAATTTAGGAAAATTGGAAACTGCTTCTCTACATTCATTTTTTTTCATTTTGCTTTATATTTTTCTCTCTTTTTCCTCATAACTGAGTTTACAGGTTAAATTTAGATATACATAATGACCATATTCATCACAGAGAAGTTTTACCTGTGCGTGCTATATCTTAGTTCCTTGCTTTTTGTTCCACTCCCCTTCCCTTTCTTCAACCCACTTTCCCTCCTTATTTACAAAGCTTTGGTTCTATTTTATACTTTTTTCTCATTATTTACCCCAACTAATTCCCATTTCCTTTGAATAATTTCTTTCCACTTCACAATATCTATTATACATTTTGGTTCTTATTTACAATTTCTATTTCTCATACCAGAGACAATGCAATATTTACACATGTGTCCAATTTATTTCTCTTAAGAATATGGTCTTGTGCCAGGAATATAGCTCAGTGGTACAGTGCTTGCCTAGTAAGCACAAGGTCCTGAGTTCAATTCTCAACACCAAAATAAATAAATAAATAAATAAAAAGAATATGGCCTCAGGTCCATCCATTTCCCTATAAATGTCTCAAGTTTATCCTTCTTGGTGACTGAGTAGCATTCCATGGTGTAAAATAAAATACATTGTTTCTATCCATTGTTTGGTTTATGGGCATTTGGGTTGTTTCCACGCTTTAGCTATTGCAAATTGTGCTACTATAAACATGGAAGTGCATATATTGCTGTTGACTGATGCTTTCAATTCTTTTGGAAAGATACCAAGAAGGGGAATCCCTGGGGCAAATGGGACCTCTAGTCCTAGTTTTTTGAGGAATATCCACATATATTTCCATAGTGGTTGCCCCAGTATATGCTCCCACAAAGAGTGGAGAAAGACACCTTTTTCCCCACATCCCCACTAGCATTTGTTATTGGTTCACTTGTTGATAATTGCCATTGGTTAATTTGTTCATAATAGCCATTGAAAATGAAACCAAACTATTCTCTATATTGCAAAGGAAAAAAAAAAGATAGAAGAGGCCCATTCTTCCTGACAGTTCCACCTTCAATCCCTCATCAGTTGCTGCCTACACTTTAGCTTCGCTCCCCACTCCTGACTCACCTACTTCCAGCCAACTGAACCTGTTCCATTTTGTTGCTGCATTTGGTCACAGAGCCTCCTGCCCTGAGACACACCTATACTGGTCAGATTGCATCATCCAACCTGAGATGACTGTCAGCAATTCCTTCCTTTGAGTTCCACTGCTTGATTGAGGAAAATTGGACTGTCAGCCCTCACAAATGAGTTGCACCCTGTCAGGCCTGAATAGGTAGGACAGACCAAGCTCTATCAAAGTGGGCCCCTGAGAGCCCATGGTCATTGCAAAAGATGGGGGCAAACTTATGACCATTCTGGTAAACAATGGATCTGAACTCTCTGCCTGTCAAAAAGTTACCATCACCCGAACAACTGAGACTCTTGCCTCCCACACCTTCTGCCAGGCACAAACCTACAGCCTGGGAGAACATCTCACCTAGACAGTCAACCTCCCTCTTGTGTAACCCTACATTTTCAACTTTGACTGTTACCCAAGAAAATGATGACACCTGCATTAGCCTGAGACAGACAACTGCAGCCCTGAAGTTCTAAAAACTCTCCTCCTGGAGGTTAGAATTAAAGTCACCTTCAGGCCTGGCCGTCAACCATGCCAACTCAGTGTGACCCCCCATTGCGGTCAGATGTCACAGGAAACACAAACAGGCACCAGCTGCACATCAGCCTGAGAGACTGTTAATCACTTTTGGCAACATCTCTGTGTCATCAGCATCACAGCCATCACCTTACACTCTGCAGTTTCTGACCCATACACCCTCTGTGGACTGTTATAGATTTAGAGGACACTTTTCCCTGCTTGTGAGTTGCTCCCCTAAGTCCCTTCAACTGAGAAAATCTTGAGATAAAAGCCAAGCTCATTTGGAGCCAATTGCCAGAAGGGGTTAAAAGTTGTCCCGCCTTGGCTCTGCACAAAACTGTGTCATCAAGACAAACCCACAGCCATCTGAGAAGCTCTCAGATTCAGCCCAAGCCAGAAAAGCTTTATGCTCTTCTGACTGAGGACCCTGAGTCTACCTGCCTCCTCCTTACATTCATCAACCCATAGCCGCTCAGCCAGCCGCAATGGCACACCACCAGCTCTGTCCCCTGCACCACAGCCTCCTTTGCTACTGTCAGCAACTCCTTTGGACTCTGTTTAATACTGAAGGATGCCACAGTATTTTAGATAGGGCCCAAGCCTGGTTAAAGTCAAAATTCTCCATACTGTGGTTGGTCTTGATGCTTGGATAAACATAGTCCTCCCTTAAGTGGGTCCATTCTAGGTCTCTAATGTGACGGAGGACCACAAAGCTTTAGACCAGTACCACACTGCTCTCCTGGAAGACCTCAAAGAGGGAGGCAGGAAGCCAATAAACATGTCTAAAATTACTGAAGTTACCCACTGGAGCTCCTAGAAAAGAAATTCTGCCAAAGCAGATCCTATGAGATCGATGGGCATTTTATCAAACACGAATTCCTGTGCATGCCTGAGGGCCCTACACCTCTCCTGGAACGTGACTAGCCTCCCTCACACTCAGGCCCACTGTCTCAGACTTGATATTGATTCTAACGGTACCCCAGGAAGAAGAATAGTGCCTACAAGAACCTGAAATGCCTGATAATCATAACCCTGAAATTTTGAGAGACTCACTTCCAGAAGTGGGGACAAAGGACTCACCTCCAGGGCTTGCTATCAGTCATCCTCTTTAGTGATAGGGCTCTTTCCCAAGGCAACCACCCCTCCACTCAAAAAGTACACATTTTCTGCCTATAAAGCCAGTTCAAGTTCTCCAAGTTGCCAAGATTGACCTCCTTGTACACTGTCTACACAAAAGCTCTGCTACAATATCTGATAGAAACTGGTTTCAAAAGAGAATTTCTGTAAATTTCTTGGAGCTGCTGGCTTCTATACGCTTACTCAGACTGTCAGTCTCTGGGAACACCCAATGGCCTCCAAGGGCTCCCTCTCCCTTTGCCTCCAAGCTCTAACAGCCACTGTCCTTCCAATCAAGAAAGGTGCCAAGCTCACTTTAGACTGAGACCTAACTTTCCAGACCACCAGAGATAGGGGCCCAATATTCCTGGAATGATTCCAGTCCGTATGTATAGAAGTAAATAAATCTGCCTCCAAATGATGGGCATCATTTTGGTGTTTCTGCTTGCTGTTGCACATCCATGAGGACCTGGACTTTTCTTTGTTGGTAAGTTTTGCATTGCATTTTCAATTTCATTGTCTGATATTGGATTATTTAGAATTTTTATATCTCCTTGATTCAACTTTGGTAACTCATATATATCTAGTTATCTGTCCATTTCCTCTGTGTTATCCATCTTTTTTTGTTGTTTTTTTTGTTTTGTTTTGTTTTTGTTTTTTGGTTTTTCTCCGGTACCAGGAACCTAACTCATGACCTTGCGCTTGCCAGGCAGGCGCTTTGCCGCTGAGCTAAATCCCCAGCCCCTGTGTTATCCGTCTTATTAAAGATTCTTAAAGTAGGTAGTGATGGTCTTCTGGATTTCTTCAAGAACTGTTGTGATTTCACCCTTTCTGTTCCTAATTATATGAATTTGATAAGGTTGGCTATGTGTTTATGGAGTTTTTGTGGGTTTTTTTCTGCCACTAATTTCCAATTTCATTGTACTGTGGTCTGTGGAATAATTTCAATTCTTCTGCATTTCCTTAAGCGTGTTTTATGAGCTAGTATGTGCTCTATTTTGTAGAACATCCTATGCACTGCTGAGTAGAACGTGTATTCTGAAATTCTGGTGCGGAACACTCTGCAGACATTTAGTAAGGCCGTTTGTTCACAAGTTTGGGTCCATTCTGATTTTTTTTGTTGTTAATATTTTGTGTTGATGATGTACTTGTGACAGTGTAACATTAAGGTCACCCATTAAAATTGTGTTAGTGCTTATTTGATTTTTCATGTCCATTAAAATTTGTTTTATGTAGG